GGATGGCCCGGGCGGGAGGGGCCCTGCTCGGGTCGCTGTGGGCCCGGCCCGGTGTCCAGAAGAGACGCGCGGTCTCGTGTGGGGGGAGGATCCCGGCTCAGCCGAGTGGTGCGGTGTGGGGAGGGTTCGCGTTTGGCCCCGGCGCGTTCAAAGGCTGGTGGGCGCCGCTGAGGGGCCGGCTGGGGCACGCCCTGGCTGTATTGTCGGCGAAGACGGGAGAGGGCTTGGTGGATTCTTGCCGGGAATGGCAACCTGAGCATCCGGTAGCCGCGGGAAGTTTTCAAGGGAGAGTGAATGAGAAACTTAAAGTTGGAAAAAGCAGTGTGGGAGATGGACACAGGGGCGTCGGTGAGGAGGCCAGTGCAGTAGACTCAGGCGAATTGTGGTAGGACTTGGACCAGACCGTGGACAGTAGAGGGAGATGCGATGAGATTCTTTACAGATCTGAAAGATGGGGCGGTAGGTTTTCCTGGTGCATCATGTGTCAGCAAAAGCAAGGAGTGAAAAACCATCTCAAGTGTTCGTGGGTTTTTGGTTTTCGTTTTTGTCTGAACGCTCGAAAGAATGGAGTTGAGGAAGTCAGCATAAAGAACAGGTTTCAGGGAGAATTTCGCGGGTTGGACTTTGGACGTGACCGTTCTCCAATATTCAAATATTCAAGGTGGATATTTCACATGAGTAAGCGGACATAAGGGTGTGGAGTGTGAGGAAGGGGGCGGAATGGAGAAAGGAGGGTGTGGACCGAATGAAGGCATGGTCTGAGGGTCAGATTGAGTAGAGAAGTTTTTTTTTTAGTAAACTTAAGGAGTACAAGTGCAGTTTTGTTACATGGTTATATTGTCTCGTAGTAAAGTCTGGGCTTTTTGTGTACCCATTACCCAAATAATGTACCCATTAAGTAATGTACATTGTACCCATTAAGTGATTTTTTCATCGCTCGTCACCCTCTCACCCTTTTGAGGCTCCAGAGTCTATCGGTCCATGTTCTTTATCAACGTGTACAAATTATTTAGCTCCCACTTGTGAGAACATGTGTTATTTGACTTTTTGTTTCTGAGTTGTTTTACTTTATTAATGGCTTCCAGTTCCGTCCCAGTTGCTGCAAAAGACATAATCTCATTTTTTTTTTGAGTTCGAGTCTCACTCTGTCACCCAGACTGGAGTGCAGTGACCGCTCCCGGCCACCGCAACCTCCACCTGCTGGGCTCCGGCGATCCTTCCGCCTCAGCCTTCCAAGTAGCCGGAATTACAGGCATGCGCTACCACGCCCGGCTAGTTTTTGATTTATTGTTGAGATGAGGTCTCGCCAAGTTGCCCAGGCGAGTCTCGAACCCGCGGCTCAGGCAATCCACTCACCTCAGCCTCCCAAAGTGCTGGGATTACAGGCTGAGCCACCGAGCCCGGCTCTCATTCTTTTTTTTATGGCTACATAATATTACATTGTGTGTATATGCCACTTTTTTTAATCCAGTTATTTGTTGAGGGGCACTTAACGTTGATTTCCCATCTTTGCTATTGTGAATAGTGCTGTGATAAAAATACAAGTGCATGTATATAGTAATTTTTCCTTTGGATAGATGCTCAGTAATGGAATTGCTCGATAGAATAGTAGTTCTATTTTTAGTTCTTTGAGAAATCTCCAGACTTTTTTCCATTGAAGTTGGTGGGAATAATTTACATTCCCACCAACGGTGTATGAGTATTCTCTTTTCACTGCATCCTCAACAACAAGTGTTATTTTTTATTTTTTATTTTTTTTGACTTTTTAACAATAGCTATTCTGACTAGTATAACATGATAACATGGTATCTTGTTGTAGTTTTAATTTACATTTCTCTGATGATTAGTGATGTTGATCATTTTTTCATATACCTGTTGACCATTTGTGTCTTCTTTTAAAAAAATGTCTGTTCATGTATTTTGCCTACTTTTTTTTTTTTTTTTTTTTTGAGTTGGAGTCTCTGTCGCCCAGACTGGAGTGCAGGGGCCACTCCCGGCCACCGCAGCCTCGACCTGCTGGGCTCCGGCGATCCTTCCGTCTCAGCCTTCCAAGTAGCTGGAACTACAGGCGCGTGCTACCACGCCTGACTAATTTTTTTGTTTATTGTAGAGATGAGGTCTCCCCACGTTGCCCAGGCGGGTCTCGAACCCGCGGGCTCAGGCAATCCACTCACCTCAGCCTCCCAAAGGCACAGGATTATAGGCTGAGCCACCGAGCCCGGCTTGCCCACTTTTTAATGGGATTTATTTTGGGGGGATGGTTTGGAGTCTCACTCTGTCGCCCTGGCTGGGGTGCAGTGGCATGGCATACTCAAGGCTACCGCAGCCTTGACCTACTGGGCTCAGGTAATCCTTCCTCCTCAGCCTTCCAAGTAGCTGGAACTACAGGCATGCACTACCATGCCTGGCTAATTTTTTGATTTATTGTAGAGATGGAGTCTCATCAAGTTGCCTAGGCTGTTCTTGAACCCATGAACTTAGGCAGTCCTCTCACCTTGGCCTCCCAAAGTGCTGGGATTATAGGCATGAGCCACCATGCCTGACTGGGATTTTTTTTGTTGTTGTTGACTTCTTTGTATTCCTTGTAAATTCTGGGTATTAGTCCCTTGTCAGATGAATAGTTTGGAAAGTCTTTCTCCCATTTTGCAGGTTGTACACGTGATTAATTTTATTTTTGCTATGCAGAAACTAGTTAAGTCCCATGCCTATTTTTGGTTTTTGGGTAGCTGGGGGATTTGAGTCGGAGTCTCACTCTGTGGCTCAGACTGGAGTCCAGTGACATGCTTACGGCCACCACAGCCTCAACCTGCTGGGCTCAGACAATCCTTCTGCCTCAGCCTTCCAAGTAGCTGGAACCACAGACATGCACCACCATGCCTGGCTAATTTTTCTTGATTTATTATAGAGATGAGGTCTCACCAAGTTGCCCAGGCTGGTCTCAAACCCCTGGGCTCAGGCAGTCCTCTCGCCTCTACCTCCCAAAGTGTTAGAATTACAGGCGTGAACCACCACACTCAGCTTCTGTTTGTTTTTGTTGCTTGTGCTTTTGAGGTTTTAGTCATGAGTTTTTCATCTAGACCAATATCCTATAGAGTTTTCCCTGGTTTTGTTTTGTTTTTTTTTTCCTAAACTTTTAATAATTTCTGGTCTTACATTTAAATCTTTAGTGCATTTTGAGTTGATTTTTATATATGGTGAGAAATATGGGTCCAGTTACACTCTTCTGCATATGGCTGTCCAAGTTTCCCAGCATCGTTTATTGAAAAGGATGTCTTTTTCCCAGTGTATGTTTTTGTTGCCTTTGCAAAAATAAGTTGGTCGTAGGTATGTGACTTTATTTCTGGGTTCCTTATTCTGTTCCACTGGTCTGTATGTCTGCTTTTATACCAGTACCATGGTGTTTTGGTTACTATAGCTTTGTAGTGGAATTTGAAGTCAGGTGGACTTTTAATCTGAGGGAAATCTTAAGGTAGCTATTTCAGATGGGCTCTTGTGAGGGAGCAAAGGGCTGAGACTTGGGGACAGACCATTGGTATCTACAGACATGAGTCTCTTCATAAAGGCACAGACTTGGCATGGGAGGGGTTCTGGACTATGTCTGCCAGAAGGGAGGTCTGGATAAGCTAAAGAGGTAGCCTGGTTTAGAAATTGAGATGTGAGTGGTTTAGATTCTCTACCTGCAGGCTTGGCTGACCCTCAGGGCTACTTTCTGTGGAAGAAGAGAAATGTCATCCAGGCTAGTGGAGCAGCTGGGTTCTAGACCGGGGTGCTGTTTTTCCCCCTTTCTCCACTTGTCAGGGAAAGAGGGATGATAATACTACAACTCCTGTCAAGGTCTCTCAGCAAATTCCCTTTAGAGCATTATAGAATAGGCAAGCCTGGTTACAGGAAAAACCAGTAGCTTATTTGCCTATTAATTCCCTTCCTGTAACTCATTAAGTTAGTAATACATGAAATACTTATTGATTTAAACCCTAATTAAGAAATATCTTTCTAGATATGTACAAATAGGCAGTTTGTGGTGAAATACTTAGTAAGTTGAATATCTAGAAGTGTTTCATAATTGGATTGATGTCAATTTGCCTCTAAGTGTTTGCTTGCCATGGAAAAGTTTGACATCATATCTTCTAAAATGTTAAATAGCTGAAAATATACATGAAAATTTCAAAACCCTACTATCTCACTTGCACTGAAAACATTTATAAAACCATTAGTTCTTGGACAATATTATCTGATATGTAACATGTGCTACTAATGTTTGATAACAATATGAGCCCTGTGAAGTAAGAACCATTCTTACCCCTACTTGTAGTTGGGGCACTGAGACTCAGGTAGATTATATTCTTTTCCAGAGTCACAAAGCTTCTAAGGGGCAGCACTGAGGTCTGAGCAGCTGAGTTTATACAATCAAGATGAGATCAGTTTGTTCCAGGGCAAGGCAGAAGAGGTGGTGGTCCCTCTCAGCTTTTAGAACTCTTCCATGGTTGCCCATATATTATGGCCTTCTTCTTTCCTCAGGTCCCCCTGACAATGGCAGATATGGACCCTGCACAGGTAAGAAGACTTTCCTGTCTTTCACCCAACTGCTATCTCCCTGATGGTTTTGGCACCTTCATATAAGGAAAGGAGATGGCCTGAGAGTCTTTTCTATTCTTCTTTTTCTTTTTTATTTCTGAAAATGGCATGACTCCAGAATCCTTATGTCCTAAATTGGGTGCTGGGGTATAAAGACTGGTGCCCTTTTTTGGCAGTTGGTGTAGTAAGATGTGTCAAGACATCATGGATATAGGATTCAAAATGTTTCAATGCTTAGATGTAAGACTGAGCTGGGATTTTCAGGGAACTGCAAGTCTCTGTCATATCTTATAGGAATGGGGAGCAGAGTGGGAGGAAGCTAGAGGCAAACAGATGTCAGGCCCGGAATGAAAGACTAGGTCCTAGGTCTCTAAACTGAGGGTGGTGGGAGCTAGGGAAGATTTGAGACAGAAGAAGGCAGTGATAGGACCTCCGTTTAAGATACTTCTCTTGCCTCAGAGTGAAGGGCAGATTTTGGAGGTGAGGGTGAATGCAGGGAGATTTGGGAGGATTATTTTGCAATAGTCCAGGTGGATATGGGTGGTATCTGGACAAGAGTGATGGTGGTGGAGGTGAGAGGAGTGGGTGACTTCAGGATATATTTTGAACTAACACTGTACACATTTTATGATATAGAAAGTGAGGGACTTGAGAAGTTAGGAGGGAAAGAGAATCAATAGAAGCCCCATAGTTTTTGGTTTTGATTGGAAAGATAAACCCCCCATCAGCTAAGTCAGCAGTATGATAAATCTTCAGCAAGAGTAGGAAGCATCAGTGTTAGTCCATGTCTTGAATGTTCTAGATACTTCTTGTGGAAGAGTTCAGGTTGTAGACATCTGCAACTTGGTGGCTGTTGTGTGGACCGGAGAGAAGCTGTGGATTAAATTTAGGAAGTGGCGTTTCTGGGTTAAGATGGTAGTGAGGGGTCTGAGAACTGGGTCTCTCTACTGGGTACCTGGATGGTGGTAGAGGAGTCACTAGACAGATGAGTGAGCAGAGTGTTTGTGGGGATGGAGTATGTGTGAGATGGTGGGGTGTAGGTGTGAGAAAGGCTGAGATGAGAGTGAACATGAAAGGAATGCCGAGGGAGGAAATCTGGTCAGTTAGAAGAGTTGCTAAGCCTCAGTGGGTTGGGGTGAGGTGAAGATGGAGGTAGAGGTCAGTACAAGTGGACTTTGGATGATGCTTTTGTGGAGAGCAATTGTCTTGACTGCTTATGGGACAGGAAGTAGATTGCAGAAGGAGGAGGTTGGCAAGAGTATGGTGAGGTCCTCACATGGTGTGAGTGACTGACCGTGAAGTGAGAAACAGAGCCAGTGAGGATACCTTCAGAGCAGGGCTTTGTGCTGCCCCTGACATTAGGGGACTTGGTGTTTTGTGATAGGACTGAGACTGAGTTGGATGCTGGGTGTGTCTGCCATGTTCCACTTGGTTTTCATGTGCCGAGAGACCTATGAGAGGTGAAGATAATGCTTATGGTGTGGGCTGGGAGGTGTTGGTAGAGTTGCAGTAGTGAAGGTCCTGGATATGTGATTGAAGTGCTTTCCTGTGAGTGATGTGCAAGCAGGAGGAGTGAATGGATGGCCCCAGGTCCTGGTACTGGGAGCTTAAGGGAGAAGGATAGTCTGAGTTTGGTTGGCTGGGAAGCTCAGTCTGGGGGACCCCAAAGAAAATATCTGGCAAGGGAGAATTACAGCCCTTCATGGCAGGCCCACATCCTAGAGAATGTTTTTTCCCCCTACCCCATCCCCATCTGTTTTCTGTGTTCTGGACACAGTTGTCACTGGAAATGTGGAAGGAAAAGGTACTTGCGTCACTAGGTGTGGAGGAGATTGAGCTGGAAATTGAGGTGTTGGAAGATGGACTATGATCCTGGAGAGAGTGTAGCAGTGATTGTACCCATGGAGTTTTAACTTGTGGATATCAGTGGTGATCGGGACAAACCAGTAACACTGACAGAAGATATTTATTACATTTCTGCAAGGAGATTGTGTACCACATAATGGAGGACCACATAGCAAAGCATCAGATTTGATTAGGAGGCAGAAAATAGGAGTGAGGAGAAAGCTTAGTCCACAGCTTCTGTGGTTCCTGAGAGAAAGGCAAGGCAGAACAAGGTGGGCGGTTAGGTTTGATTGGGTTGATTTAGGACAAGGGAAATATTGGCTTGGTGTGTGCAAGTTAGTTCAAGAGGTAGTTCAGAATATGGACTCAGGGTAGATGGAAACACATTTGGCTGTTAGTTTGGCCTTGTATTTGATGAGTGCCAAGTACATCATTAGAAAATCTAACTAACCACGGTTTGAAAAGAAGCTGCTCATATACTCAACTGTCCCAATTTTGGCAGGACCGCGTGGTCTTTGAGGACGTGGCCATTTATTTCTCCCAGGAGGAGTGGGGTCACCTTGATGAGGCTCAGAGATTGCTCTACCACGACGTGATGCTGGAGAATTTGGCACTTTTGTCCTCACTAGGTAAGGCCCTCACACCCTTCTGGGTGTCCTGGGTTGGGCTGTGTTTTTCCCTTTTTATTCAAGAGCAGCACTTCCTTTTCCACATTGAGACCATGGGTGCTCCTTTCTCCCCTGGTTTCTTGGCATATGTGCAGTGGGAGCCAGGGCTGGGTGCTCTCTAACCCCTTTTTCCTAGCAGCCCCATCCTTTGCTGCTGTGAAGCTCACAGGAAAGGGCCCAGAAGTCAGAAATCTTGAAGTTGGTATAGAGATTTTACCTGCCTGTCTGTCCCTGGTCAAGTGACTCTGTCCAAATGCATGTAGCCTCTGTTCTCTAGGTTTTTGTCCTTCTGCTGATATTTCTTGGTGTTTTTCTGTGCCTGGAATATAAGATACTGACCTGGTTGCTAATTTTGGGGACCACTAGATTAAGAGTCTGCAGTACTCTTTTGTGAAGTTCTAGTGACTATTGTGCGTGGAATGTCATGGAGTGGGTCTCTCTGGGTATGTGCTGTCCACTCCATTTCTCTGTCTTTCCCCTAAAACTGGCCCCTTCCAGGTCTCACACATTGTCATCTCGAGCAATGGGGAAGGCCCTGGGCACCTGGCAGGGTGGATGATAGTCTGGTAATGGTAACAGAGACTCAAAAGGATGTGGCCCTGGTGCCTGGGATTTGGGAAAAGGTGTGGTATCACGTTTGCATACAAATCACACTGAAAACTTGTCCTAGGCTCACCTTTGTTTGATAACAGGGCCAGTGGTCACACCTCATCTCTACCTTTTCTTTTCCATTATCATTTTTGGTATGATTTCTGGCCTCTGCATCGCCCCTTCTTCAGATCTACTTTTGTGTCCACCTTTTACCCATTTCTTTCCACTGCTCCCTTTGCAGTGTGTCCTCAGTCATATGACCTGTAATTAAGGTTTTGTGAGTTCTATACATATTCCTCAGTAGTCCTTCAACACCAGCTTCTCTGTCACAATCTGATCTCTTTGGGTCTGGATGTACCTTATACACACTGCACCACTAGCCATGGCCTGTTGAAAACCATTTGCAGAAGAGTGAGTTGGAGTCCCTGCCTTTCCTCCCTGCACTGTACCCCATCCTTGTGTCCTCATCCATCATCAGGGCTCTCCCATTATGGGTGCCTGCAAGGTCCAGCTCTGCACAACAGGCCTTCTTCTTCTCACTGGCTTAATATTCATACCTGTCACCAATTCCATGGCCTTGTTTGTTGGTGTGACTAAGAGACATTGTGAACGGGCTGCCTCTTCTTACCAGAGTCAACATGTACTTCACCAGTATTTCTGTTCTTGCAGGTTGTTGGCATGGAGCTGAGAATGAGGAGCCACTTTCAGATCAAGGTGTTTCTGTAGCAGCATCAGAGGTCATGAGTCCAGTACCCTATCTATCCACTCAGAAGGTCCAGCCTAGTGAGACATGTGACCCACTTTTGAAAGACATTCTGTGCTTGATTGAGCGCAATGGAACCTATCCTGAACAAAAGATATATATTTGTGAGGCAGAGCTTTTTCAACACCGAAAGCAGCAAATTGGAGCGAATCTTTCCAGAGAAGGCAATTGGATACCTTCGTTTGGAAAGAACCATGGAGTCAGTGTGGCAGAGAGGACCTTCACATACAGTAAGGGTTGGAAGGATTTGCCAGCCATCTCAGGTCTTCTCCAGCACCAGGTCCCTCAAAGTGAGTGGAAGCCACACAGGGACACAGAGGATAGTCAAGTCTTTCAAACTGGACAAAATGATTACAAATGCAGTGAATGTGGGAAAGCATTCACTTGCAAATATTCACTTGTTGAGCACCAGAAAATCCACACAGGAGAAAGGTCTTATGAATGTAACAAATGTGGGAAATTCTTTAGATACAGTGCTAACTTCTTGAAACATCAGACAGTTCATAGCAGTGAAAGGACTTATGAGTGCAGAGAATGTGGAAAATCCTTTATGTACAACTATAGACTCCTGAGACATAAGAGAGTTCACACTGGAGAAAGGCCTTATGAGTGCAACATTTGTGGGAAGTTCTTTAGGTACAGCTCTACATTTGTTAGACATCAGAGAATTCACACTGGAGAAAGGCCCTATGAGTGCAGGGAATGTGGGAAATTCTTTATGGACAGCTCCACACTCATTAAACATCAGAGAGTTCATACTGGAGAAAGACCTTACAAGTGCAGTGATTGTGGGAAATTCTTTAGATATATCTCTACACTCATTCGACATCAGAGAATTCACACTGGAGAGAGGCCTTATGAATGCAGTGTGTGTGGAGAATTCTTTAGGTACAACTCCAGCCTCGTTAAACACTGGAGAAATCACACAGGAGAAAAGCCTTATAAATGCAGTGAATGTGGGAAATCCTTTAGGTACCACTGCAGACTCATTAGACATCAGAGAGTTCACACTGGAGAAAGGCCTTATGAATGCAGTGAATGTGGGAAATTCTTTCGGTACAATTCCAACCTCATTAAACATTGGAGAAATCACACTGGAGAAAGGCCTTATGAGTGCAGAGAATGTGGAAAAGCCTTTAGCCACAAACATATACTTGTTGAACACCAGAAAATCCACAGCGGAGAAAGGCCTTATGAGTGCAGTGAATGCCAGAAGTCCTTCATTAGAAAGTCTCACCTGGTTCATCACCAGAAAATTCACAATGAAGAGAGGCTTATGTGCTCAATGAATGTGGGGAGTTCTTTAAGCACAACTCCAACTTCATTAAACATCAGAGATTTCACAGTGGAGGAAATTTACCATTGACCGTTTTAATTGGATAGTTCAGTAATGTTATGTTAATTATATGTGTTTCTGCAACTAATTTCCAGAATTCTCTTCCTCTTGCAAAAACAACAAAACACAAAATGCTATGCCCATTAAACAACTCATTACCATTCCCTACTGTCCCTAAAAACTTCACAACTACATGCCTACTTTCTATGTATTTGATATCTATTGGTACCTCATATATGTGGATTCATATAGTATTTATCCTTTTGAGACTGGCTTATTTCACTTGTAAGATCTTTATGGTTCACCTATGTTGTATCATGTGTCAAAATTTCCTTTTTAGGTGAAATAATATTCTGTTGTATGTATACACCGTATTTAGTTATCAGTGGATTCTTAGTTTATTTTCACCTTTTGGCTATTGAAAATAATGCTGCTATGAAGATGAGTATATAGCTATTTGTTTGAGACTTTGCTTTCAATTATTTTGGGGTACATACCCAGAAATAGAGATGCTGCATCATACAGTATTTCTGGTTTTAATATTTTGAGGAACTATTTTCCACCGTACATTCCCACATGAGCTCCAATTTATATACATCTTCACCAACATTGTTCATTTTGTGTTTCTGGTTTATTTTGTATTTTTAGTTTTGAAACAGCAGCTATGCTTTTGGATATGAAGTGGAATCATAGTGTTTTCCATTTTTGTTTTGCTAATTATTAATGATGTTGAGCATCTTTTCATATGTTTGTTAGGCATTTGTATATCTAGAGAAGTATCTTCAAGTCTTTTTCTCCCCATTGTTAATGGGGTTATTTGCTTTTTGTTGTTGAGTTGTAGGACTTCTTTATATATTCTAGGTATTAACCCCTTATGAAATACATGATTTTAAAGTATTATCTCCCAGTCTACAGGTTGCATTTTTACTCTGTTGATTGTGTCCTTTCATGAAATTTTAAATTTTGACATACAGTTGACTCTGCATCTGTGGATTCAACCAACCATGGACCAAAAATATTCAGAGCATTTGTGGATAGAACCAACCATTTGTACTCCATCTGTACTGAATATGTACATACTTTTTTTGTCATTACCTAAACAATACAGTATAACAGCTATTTACATAGCTTTACATTGTATTGGGTATAACTACGTGGGAAGATGGTTAGGTTGTATTCAAAGACTATGTCTTTTTATATAAAGGACCTCTTGAGCATCAGTTGATTTTCCATAGGGAGTCTTGGAACTAGTTCCCCCACAGATACCAAAGGCTGACTGTAGTCCAGTTTATTTGTTTTTTACTTCTGTTACCTGTACTTCTGATGTGATATCCAAAAAACATTGTCAAATTCAGTGTCAAGCATTTTCCCCATGTTTTATTCTAAAACGAATTTTATATTTGTTGGGCTTCCACTTAGGTCTTTGATCCATTTGGAGTTCATTTTTATATATTGTGTAAGGCAAGAGTCCACTTCATGTGGATATTCGTGTTCCATTATGTGTTTTTCCCCTATCAAGTGGTCTTGGCACCCTTGTTAAAATTATTTGACCATATATGCCAGGATTTATTTTGGGCTCTCTATTCTGTTGATCCATATGACTGTCTATGTGTCAATACCACATGTTTTAGGTGTGTGTGTGTGTGTGTTTGTACTGGGGATGCCAAAAATATATACACATTTTAAGATGTTATCTATGTATTACTTTTAGTTCACTGTAATCAGAAGTATCTGGACACTTGATGGTAGCTACTTTGAGCACCTCTTGTAATTACAGAAGTCAAACATGTATTCATCTTTTGTTATTGGTATATATTGACTATTACAACTTTAATACAATTTTTCCTTTCTTAAAAAAAAAATACACACACACACACACACACACACACACACACACACACACACACACACATTTCATGTATATATGAAATTTAATGCTGGCTTTGCTCAGTTTTGAGGTCCAGACTAGAGGTCAGTCATTGTCTCTTTTGAAGCAGCTGATTATGTCCACATGCCAACCACTTTTCTTATTGGGCTTTCATGTTCCAGACCACTATATTCCAGTCCAGGTTATTCAAATTAGCCAATCCACAGGTAACGGGGGAAGCATAGGTAACCCAACCCACTTGCCTTACATAAGCTACCCCCTGCGGTTTCAGGTTGCTGTTTACTATGTTCCAGATGCAATCATCTGTGGTGCCCTGCTCAAGTTCTCTAATTCTTAGGTGTAGGTAATTCTGCCTTTCATGTATCCAAGTGACTTTAGAGTTGTTTCCTGCTATCAAAAGTACCTAGAAATATTAGGACTGCAGTGAATGTTTTTGGAAAGTCTTTAGCCATTAGCCTAATCTCATCCAGTACCAGCAAACTTACAATGGAGAAAGGTTTTATGAATGAAGGCAGTATGGTCTTTGTTTAACATAATAATTAGGGCAACGCTCTGCAGAGTAGCTTTGTAGTAAGATAGCAGTTGAACCTCATACATCCAAATGTTTGCATTAGAGATACTCTCTGTACTGCCAGGTTTTGTGAACTATGTTGCACCGTTGAACTTGCCTTGAGCCTTTGCCAGAGTTAAGTCACTGCCAGTGCCTGTTACAGAAGTCATCTTTTGCTGGGCAAGGTGGCTCGTGCCTGTAATTCCAGCAATTTGGGAGGTAGAGGAGAGAGGATTGCCTGAACCCCTGGGTTCGAGACCAGCCTGGGCAATATGGTGAGATGTGTCTCTACAATAAATCAAAAATTAGCTGAGCAATCGCATGCCTGTGATTCCAGCTACTTGGAAGGCTGAGGTGGGATTGCCTAAGCCCAGTCATCTCTCTTCTGGCTGAGAGCCAATGTGTATCTAGCACTATAGTCACATTACAATGCACAGGTACAGCAGCATGCTATTCTTGCTCCCTTTATCTGGAGAATGCACCAGTCATTTATATTTGTTAGGGGCCTCATTCCCTCTCCCACAGTTCATTTGAGTGTAGATATCAGCCTTGGACAGAGGACACAGGCTGGCTTTGGCTGTCAGCTTGCAGATATCTTCCTTTGTAGGAACATAATTGGTTATCTTGTGACCCTCAGGATGGAGTTTCTAACCTTCATGTCACCTGCACCGTGAACTCCTCCCTACCCCATTGAAAACACACACACACACATAGGCTTTTGTATAACAGGTCACATTGTTCACTGGAGTCTAGTCATTTTGTGCCATGGGTTTTAAACAGAATTGGTCTCTGTTTAAAAATGAAAAGATAGGCCTGGCTCGGTGGCTCAACCTGTAATCCTGCGGTTTGGGAGGTTGAGGTGAGTGAATTGCCTGAGCCCGCGGGTTTGAGACCCGCCTGGGCAGCTTGGCGAGACCTCATCTCTAAAATAAATAAAATTAGCCAGGCGTGGTAGCACGCGCTGTAGTTCCGGCTACTTGGAAGGCTGAGGCAGAGTGCAGCAAGTCGAGGCTGCAGTGGCCGGGAGCAGCCACTGCACTCCAGTCTGGGCGACAGAGTGAGACTCCAACTCAAACAAACAAAAAAAGTGAAAAGATAAATGGTTTTTTTGGGCTTCTACTTTGCTCCAGAGGGAATAGCAGTTTGACAAAGATCAGCTCTCATGCAGATTTGGGTCAATTTGCATTGTATGAGAAGCCTCTTGGGAAAGTCTGAAGGACTTGTGTGTCAAGTCTCATGCCCTAAATACAGAGTATTTGAGTTTTCCAGTCAGCCTGAGGAGAAAACGATTGCCTTAATCTTTAGGACACTTGGCAAGGGGTGTCCTACGTGGGATTTCCCATATTCCCCTGCAATGTTGAGGAATAGCTGTCTCTTGTGAACTGCCTAGGAGCCATGTGTCCTGCAACCAAAAGACTATGCAGGTATATGTTGTTGGGCCAGGTGAACTCCGTGTATTATAGATAAATAGTAAGTGGAAGAGATGCAGTAGAGTAGATGAGCCTCTAAAGGACCACCTACAAAAGTCCCAATATCTATGGCCATGTGGAATAAAGTATTACAGAAATCACAAGGACCTAAAGACTTGTGTACCTCCTGTAGCCAAGTCACTGTCAGAGCAACTAATTCAAAGATTTTGTGAATTCCTGTACCCTCCCTGGGCTAATACTTTCAAATCATACTTGCACAGACAGAACCTCATGACTCAGAACAGAGAAATTATAGAAATTATAGTCCAAGAATGGTTCTTTAGTCATTATTGACTTTCATGGACATGACTTTCATTTCTTTCCCATTTTTGTGACCATTAAGTCACCTAAGACATGAAGACAGGGTGTTAATGGAGTCAATACGGCTTTTGCTCATCATAAAGATATTTCTAGAGAAACTGTCAGGAATATCTAGTAGTTAATATTTTTATTGCAGTAAAACGTGTAGAACAAAATATAGCATCTTAGGGCTGGGCACGGTACGTCATGCAAATAATTACAGCACTTTGGGAGGGAGAGGAGGGAGGATTGCTTGAATCCAGAGTTCTAAACCAGCTTGAGCTACACAGCAAAACCTCATCTCTTAAAAAAAAAATTAGCCAGGTGTGGAGGTGTGTGTGCCTGTAGTCCATTTATTCAGGAAGCTGAGGTGGAAAGATTGCCTGAACCTAGGAGCTTCAGCCTCCAGTGAGACATGATCATGTCACTGCACTCCAGCCTGGGTGACAGAGTAAGACCCCGACTCAAAATATATATATATATATTTGTTACCATCTTAACCATTATTAACTATTTAGTTCTTTGGTGGTATTACTCAAGATTCTCCAGAGAAACAGAATCAACAGGTTGTATATGTTTATATATAACGAGAAATGTATATCAAAGAATTAGCTGATGTGCTTATGACAGCCTGGAAAGTTCAAAATCAGAGGGTGAATCAGCAGACTGGGGACCCAGAGAAGAGATGCAGTTCAAACCTAAAGGGGGTCATTGGCAGAATTTTTTCTTGCATGAGGAGGTCATTTTTCTCTAATGAGTCCTTAAATAGACTAGATGCAGGCTGTTCACATTATAGATGGTAGCTTGCTTTACTCAAAGTCTACTATCTTTAGTGTTAATCTCAATCTAAAAAGAAAAAAAAATTCCAACACAGAAACTTGTAGAATAATGTTTGATGGTATATTGGTCTTTAATTTAATATACAAAATTAACTGTCGACTGGACACAGTGCCTCATGCCTATAATCTCAGCACTTTGGAAGGTCGAAGTGAGAGGATTGCCTGAGCCCACAGGTTTGAGGCTAGCCTGGGCAACTTGGCGAGTCCTCATCTCTGTACTA